AAGTCAGATTATTGTTCAGTGGGAGTTCTGCTTCAAGAAAGGACCGGTCGCTAAATACATGAAATACAAGGTGGAGTCCGAATTGACCCTTATGATCCCTGTGTGCAGAACGGTCATAATGGGACCATGGTATATCACTCGTAGCCTGTCCTTTCTATTATTCTAATACTCGACATACATTCCGGACATACACTGAGCTATTTAAAAAATCAAATGGTTTAAAAACTAATAAAATTGATCCCTGCTTTTCACTACTTAGTACATTGTGATATACCGTTTTGTGTTCACAACTCATCGTGTGCAAGTCCTTAAAATAAGTAAATTAAGACCCAAAGCTAAAATAGAAGCTCGATCTTGAACTGATACGATTATAATATTTACGAATAAAAAATATCCGTAAAAACGATTTAATAAATATTCTAGAGCAAGTCGAAATATTGCATGTCCTTCGTTTATGTGTGATAAAGGGTCGTGTCACTTTATTTGTGGAGGGGGGATGCGTGTTAAGGTTTTGTAAGACTGCAGTGTACTGGAGGGGAGGGATATATGTTTACGGCTTGCGTGTGCTGGAGTATACTGTAGGGGAGGGATACATGTTTACGGCTTGCATGTCCTGGAGTATACTTTAGGAGAGGGGGACATGATTACGGCTTGCATGTCCTGGAGTATACTGTAGGGGAGGGATACATGTTTACGGCTTGCATGTCCTGGAGTATACTGTAGGGGAGGGATACATGTTTACGGCTTGCATGTCCTAGAGTGTACTTTCCACATATTACATGTATAAATATACCCCATCAAGTAGACGTAATCCAGAGATGGAAAATGGCGGCTGGCCAAACTGATTTATTTCAGTGTGTTTGTTTCTCAAATTTATCTCTAAATTTTACCTTTAACACTATATTGAAAAATACCATGTAAAGTATCAAACTAAAGCCAGATATTTAAAGTCTTCAATCATTACAAGAATGTAAGGTTACAGTATCAGAAAATGAACCGAAATTAGTTACTAATAAAATATATTTGTTTTATTAAGTACTAATTAAGACTCTCAAGCAATTATCTTCGATTTTCATAATTCACTCATGCAAATTGGATTGATATAAAGCAACTTTAACACACTGGCTTTCGATTAAAGTATCAAACACTCAGCGAGACATATTATTCATACCACAATATTACATTTAAAAATGGGTAAGAAACACAGATTTCGTAAGGAGAATCCATTTTAATGGTAACTTGGTAATATATAGTATGTCGTTCTCTGACGTCCGCGTAACATAGTATAAAGCGCGAACATGAACAGAGGGAAATTATTCATTTGTTAATCTCAACAGAAGGTATACAACAATCGCAAACAACTCTCAATATGTCTGCAGCACCGGAGCACCCTAAATACATCGAGATGATAACACAAGCTATCATGGCATTGAATGAACGTACTGGATCATCCCGTCAAGCCATCGTTAAGTACATCAAGGAAAACTTCAAAGTCGGTGACAATGTCGATGTACACATCAAAATGGCTCTTAAACGAGGAGTGACATCAGGAACACTCGCTCAACCCAAGGGGACTGGAGCATCCGGTAGCTTCAAAGTGAAAAAAGCAGAGCCAACGGCCAAGAAACCAGTCAAGAAGCCTACAGCGAAAAAACCTGCTAAGAAACCAGCAGCTAAAGCTAAGAAACCAGCAGCAAAGAAACCAGCAGCTAAAAAATCCGTTGCAAAGAAACCAGCAGCTAAAAAACCCGTTGCAAAGAAACCAGCAGCTAAAAAACCCGTTGCAAAGAAACCAGCTGCAAAGAAGGCCGTCAAGAAAACAGCAAAGAAATGAACCGAATCAGTTAAATGAGAAACCAACGGCCCTTCCCAGGGCCACCTATTACTCACAAAAGAGAAATGTTATTTATGAATTTGAGAGGCCAATGGCGCACTAATCTGATATCATGGTAGTGTATATATCATCATATTTTCTTGAACATTTGTTAAATTGCATTATTGGGTAAATAATAACCAGCATGTTAATAATAAACTGAAGTCTTTGCAATATAATATAGGCAGGGCAATATTCAGCTTTAAAAGCCCACCAGCATATATCGCAGTAAATGATTTGGGTTACTTAAAGATTCGTTTTATTATCTTTAAGTCTATGCGACAAAGCTGTAATGAGGTTCCTTAAACGTGTACTCTTAATATTGAAAATAGCTTGCACTGCATTATATTGCATGGACCTAAGTTTGTTTCTGATCGCTTTTGTATCTGTTACCCATATGCCACGCCCATGTAGGATGCTTGGTAAAAATTTACCTGAATATAATGTGTTCCCAAATTCAATCTTCTTTGCATTGAGATGTTTACTAACTATGGTTTTTCAGCTTGACCGAATTTGGTCCAAGTTTGACAATATATTTTCTTTAGTCTGTGCCAAGCACAGATGAGTACAGGTTTTATCATACCTTGCGTCATTTCTGTTAAGTTCCACGATGACAGGTCCGTATTAGATTATATTTTTTCGTTGTCCTGTACCGCATGTAGGGGAAATGTACATGTATGTTTCTTTATTAATCCCGCATCACATATGGATTCATATTATATAAAATAATAATGGGTGGGATGGAATATGAATTTTATTCCAAGGGAAAATATGATATTAGGCAAGGAAAATATCATAAAAATCATCTCCGGGATAATTTCTAATACGGGATCTGATACGGGATCAGGGCCGTCAGATGGGGGGGGGGGGGGGTGCGATGGGTGCGTCCCCTTTGAATTTTTTTTTCATTGACTCATACACTTTGAAAGTGCCAAGATAGCACCAAATAGCATCTTAGAATTGTAAAATTTGCTAGGGGGAGTGGGCCACCCCTCACCCCCTAAAAAAACAATGGAAAAGAACAATGGAGAAGTTCGGAATCTATTTTATGTATTGTCTCAGATACTTTTAAAGTGCCCAAATATCATCAAATAGCTCGTTGATATAGTCAATAATTCTGGGGGACCAACACTTACTTGCCTTCTGGCATCCCCACCCCATCTCCCCCTCCGGTATCCCCCTTGACACTCCCCTCCAAAAAATTGAAAAAATTTCATTGACTCATGCACTTTGAAAGTGACCAGAAGGCACCAAATAGCATCTTAAAATTGTAAAATTTTCTAGGGGGAGTGGGCTACCCCTCACAAAACAATGGAAAAGTTTTGAATTTATTTTATATATTGTCTCAGACACTTTTGAAGTGCCCAGAAAGCATCAAATAGTATCTTAAAATTGTAAAATTTTCTAGGGAAGTAGGCCACCCCTCACATCCACCACAAAACAATTGACAAAAATTCTGAATTTATTTCATGTATTGTCTCAGACACTTTTAAAGTGCCCAGAAAGCATCAAATAGCACCTTGATATGGTCAATGTTTTTAGGGACAGATATGGGGGACAAATAATTGCTCCCCTCTGGCACCCCAACCCCACCTCCCCCTCTGGCACCCCCCCCCCCCTTTGACACCCTCCCAAAAAATTGTGATTGTTTTTCAATTTTTTTTTATTGACTCATACACCTTAAAATGCCCAAAAGCACCAAATATCATATCATTTTAAACACTTTATTATTATTATATCTCTTTATTTCCCATTTAGCAATATTAAACATTTAACACAACAGTGAAAATTAACCAAAAACAACGACACAAAAACACATCTAAAAATTTAAGACAATAACAGAAAAACACACAAAAACAACAAACAATCCACATCTAAAATGTCAATGACAAGTAAGAAATTATCTATTAAAAAGTCACAAACAGTGGTGGAAAGTCACATTTCTAAAAGATATTTGCATCACTCTAAAATGGAGTGGTAAGATCAATATTTAAACCAAGTGACATAATGAAATCATAAAAAATTCTGGCACCCCACCCCAAAAACTAAAGCATTCATTTTCTCAAACACATTAAAAATGCTCAGAATTAATGACTAGACAGCATCTTGAATTAGTAAAATTTTCCTGTGCTGCCCTCTCGCTCCCCTAAGAAGAAAATGATTAAAAAATCTGAATTTCTTTAAATTGATTCTATTGATTAAAACACTTTAAGTGTCCAGAAATCACTGAAAGTGATCTTGAACTGGTAAAAGTTCTCAGGTAAACATTTATGCCCTTTTAGCACACCCTCCCCCTATTCCAATGTTTCTCCAAATTGCAATACAATACAATATTTATAATATTTCTAAAAACAATGCGAAAACAATAAAATACTACAAAATAGGCCGAGTGGCCCCAATATAGGGAGTAACCGACCCCCCTCTGACTTCCGCGATTCGATTTACGCAGCAAAAAAAATGACAATTTATATTCTTTTTAGTAAAAACCCTTTGAGAAAAGTGTCTTACGGGCCTGGGGATTTTGGCTGATACGGGATCTGAAACGGGATTTCTCGAATATCAATTCTATTCCCTGTTTATTTCCCAGGGAAATCATGTTATTGTGTAATTAAAAATGTTCTTACATGTTTTTGTATCTGTTCATATTTTTGTAAAATAACATCCTGTGTAACATTTGAAATGTTCTCCAGTGTTCGGTCCATTCTACAAACGAGGATCGTCAGTTTGTAAATGCTACTTTTCCAGTTTTAAATACGTTCGTTCATACTATAATACAAACACCGTATAATGTATATCTCCTGTACATAAAAGGCAAATGATAACACACTCACACGTAACATATTACAATTTGCGGCTTGCTCTTTTGATCGATGTTGGGCGATCCATCAAATAGCTTTTAGATCGATAATTCTTGAAAATCCAATAAATCCAATAAACCGGACTGAGTGACTCGGACTTATTAATTAATGCAATTATATTACGATTGTCCCCGTAAGAACTATTGACAAAAGGCCTGTCTTCTGGTGGTATTTTTCTTAAGGCACCTGTTCATTTTCCCAAGCATGGTTTCCGTATAAATAGAGATGTTCTTCCTTACATGGGACATTTCTGAACTTTTGCCGCACGGTGTTGAGTGAGTCATTATCAACAGGCGTACACCATGAGTAAGTGAATTATTTATTTTGACTTATTTTATTAAATATTAATTACACATTTTATGACATTTAATTTAGATTTAATTTATTTTTTGTCATTGTTTTTCAAAATTAAATGAAATAGGTTTTGCATAAGGACATAAATAGTTCTCACACATAGCATATGTACATGTACATATCTAAAAACACATTCTGGAAGATAAAGTAAATAATATGTATTTCAGACCCACTTGAATATTGGTAGGCAAATTAAAAATTACACCGTTTTCAGAATGGTCAAGTAGGCTAAACAAAACGATCAATGATTTTGAACCATGTCTCCCGAAACAAAACCTTTGAGTTAATTACAATGTATCACGATCTATAGTATTTTTGATAAAATTAAAAAGTAAAACAACTTGTGTAGCGGTTCGATTTGTTTGCACATAGACTCTCATCACTCCAGGGGTATCACTAAATACTACGTCTTAACTGTGCTTTTTTTACAATTTTAAATTTATATGTTAAATAAATTAAATCATAACTTTACAAGGAGATAATTTTTTGAAATATTTTTTCTTGGAATTTAAACTAGAATAGTTTATCCTTTGATAGAAATTAGTGCGACTTCAGTTAGATTTGGCATTTGGCTCTGCAAATTAATGATTTTAAAACTTCTTTTTTAGTTTGTAATTTAATTTAATATCCTTGTTCATATTATTCTTAATGATACGAAACGATCGGTTGTATAGGTTCCCTGTTATGGAATATTTTACATAATATTTGAAAAATTAAAAAAATATTGTCAATCATTCAGAATATAAATCGTTACATGTACTCGCGCTGAACTGACTCAAAAGAGCACGCTCATGGATACGTTAAAAAGAAATCTATATAAATAATTTTTATCAGAGTTAAAAAAATTTTTATTCAAGACACACGCTGAGAAAATACATTGGAATGTGCTTGACCTATCATAATAGCTTTATTGACGTGTTTGTGCCGATATTTCGTATTCGAGCCATAGAAACCTAAACAGATCGAGGGGTAATTCTTAGCAGCTCAAACTACAGAACAATCAAAAACAATAAAACCATTATACTTCATTTGTAACTTTTGTCAATCATCGAGCATTAAAGTCAATATTTCTGTGTTATAATACCGATTTTCTTATTTGTTCTGTTAAAGTCACTTGTGTTCGCAAACAGGTCGATACATTTGGTGTCAATACAATTTTTAACATTGATAGGTTCATCAGAAAGCAAATTTTACGACAATAGGAGTAAACATATTTCCATGAGTTCATTTATGAGGATAGGTCCATTTTGGGAATTCTGGGATATTTCCTCTTCTTTTTTTGCGACACGACTTTATGTGCTTAACTTGAATTATTAAAAATTGCGAACGACGTCAAGTATTGATTTAACGCTCTCATCGATGTGTAGGAATTGTGTTTTTATAATTTCTATTTAAATGTTTTCTTTAAAACTTCATTTTGTTCTTTAAACAACAATTTAAATAAAAGTCTTATTAGTGTCCGATGTCACTTTAACATTCAATATGTTAACATATTAAGCCAACTTCTTAACAAGAACACGTTTCTGACCAATTTCATATTTGCATACTCTTAAAATATTATCTTACACCGACTTGTTATTATTAAATACAAGTTCAATTGCATAAAAATCATGCGGAAATTACTTTCTACACAATGTCTTCTTGTTAACAGAACAATCCAATTTATTAAATATTAACAATTTCGTGTTCTTGATTCAAGTAATAACTTCCAAATGTATACTCTTTTACTCTTTAGTATTTGCTTAGGAAATCCTGCATGTTCTCACTAACTTAAGTCCTTGTTCAGAAATCGTACAAACATCAAGTCATTATAGCATCTTAGGAGGCTGGGGTCGCATTAATCAATGTAACAACAGGATTATAAATCAAGTCCATTCGAAGTTATACATACGTTTAACGTCTCTTTCTCCAAGGCCTAAGATAGAAGCGCTTCAGAAAACAAACCATTTTGAGTGCCCAGATATGTACAAAAATGAATCCAAATGCCAAATGACAGATGGAATTATTGAAACTGCGATCTAAGTTTACTGATCGTATAAAAATTTGAAGACTTGCAGACTTAAATATTTTAACTTCATTATTGTTATGAAGGCTAGGAAAACTACAATCACGCTATGGCATTCTTACTCTTAAACAGCATAAACCTCAGATAGCTATTTACGTTTAAAACTTCTTTGTTTTTTAATCCACCTTCCTAACTAGAACCTCGACTAGACGTTAAACATACAACTAACTTTGAATGGCCTAAGGTAGTTATTCACAATGTTTACAAGTCAATAGGTGCCCTGAAACGATTCGGATTGTATCAATTTTTAATGCGATCCTCTATAGAGAGGAAATCTGAAGTGGCGGGAGTCTATTCATACCAGTAGCCAGCCAGTTGCTGTCGATTCTGCAAGTTCCCAGATCCTCAATGATTCAGTTACTTTGTCACGAAATCACTCTCTTGTCAAAATTCGATACAGCGTGATATTTATTGCATTACTGGAATTGGTGGGCTATATTTCGAATATTTGTCAATGCAATCATGTGGCTTTATCCCCCGGGTTCTATGGTGTGGCTGAGCGGGAAATGATCAAACTGTGCAATAATACATTATTCTTTACACAGAGATGTTTTTCATGCCGGAACTTTTTATAGTAATTTGCACCCATTAAAGTTTTCGCATATTGACTTTTGGAATAAAAGACGAGTGGGTTGTTTCATTTTCAAAACAATATGATCTAAACTTGAGCAGGTTGAGTACATAAGAAACTTTAAAAATGGATTTTTCCTATACACTATAGCCTAAAAGTGTATGACCCCACACTGATACGGTTACTGTAAGCGTTCCCCTTATTCATTTTACCGAAAATTGATAAACCTCCTGAGAGTGTTTAGTTTATTAACGCCCACTTTTCTTAAAAAACAATACATGTTTGCATTGCTATTTTGAAGTTTTGATCAAATTATTTAAATCATATTCTAGGTGAGCGACTTCTGGATATTCCTTGCAAGGTGTGCGGGGATAGGAGCTCTGGAAAACACTATGGTATCTATAGCTGTGATGGTAAGTCTAGATCACCAGCAACCGGATAGAAATCAAGAAAATAATTGAAATTGAGATCAAATTATGACGCTAATCTAGACCAACACAAAGTCCATGCTAGAAGTTCTTTTTTTGTCGAATTACAAAAATTATATAAAGTTTGAAGTATTGTAGACAGACATATAGACCCCGAGGCAGACATATTCAATGTTTTCATAGTATGTGTCATATACTATTTTTAGCTCATCCAAAGTTACATTGATTTATGAAGTATCATGGTTCAACCCGCAAATGGGAAAAAGTTACAGGCATCTCAAAATTTAGTGTTTGGCAAAAATTAAAGTCAGTTTTATATCAAAATATTAGTAGGCGTGTCTCTTAAGAACAGCAGCAACGCTTTTCATATATGACCTTAAACGCGCTTCAAATAAGGATGTGGCATTTTGTAATCCTCATAAAAGCCCTTTTAAGGCATTTTAGAAAAGTTTCTTCGGAGTATCTACCCTCAACGTCTTATTTTTAGAACTTAATATCCATCCTATCTATCTACATTAAATATTTTAATGTTACTGCCAAACAGTTTTTTCTTTTTGTGTGATACGTTACTTTCTACTATTAAAACACGTTTTAGAGGCCGCAGATATTTAATTTGATAAATAAAATAATTCAATTTTAACAGGTTGTTCCGGCTTCTTTAAGCGAAGTATACACAGGAACAGGGTTTACACATGCAAGGTCCAGGGCGACAAGAAGGGGATGTGTCCAATAGATAAGACGCATAGAAACCAGTGCAGGGCATGTCGAATACAGAAATGTTTCGACGCTAACATGAATAAAGAAGGTAAGACATTTTGGTCAACCCTCGTATATGTTTTCTGCCCAAAAAGCCTGTTCGCATCCTGATAAAATTTGTCATATAAGGCATATCACTGATAACTTGAAAACGTTGAGACTTTTTGTTAAATTAGAGGCATGAGTTAAATTGACACGCAAATATGTGAACTTCTAAGTCTTTATGGAATTATGTGCTCAGATTTGTGACCTTACTTATCTGAAAGTGAAGATATTGCCTGAGGGTTGCACTCCCATCATCGAAAATCCCTCCGCTGCCACCAAAAATATAGCAGATTATACAATCTCCTATCAAACTAGCGCCTTGATTAAGAACATATCGACATTATTTACATCTTGTCGACTTCATTGTAGAGTTAATCTTTGTTAAGAACATGGAAGCCTCTTTAACGTGACACTTAACAGCATTTTAATTTCACTTATATGGGTAATAAGAGCCATTGATCAGTTGAGACACTCTTTAATGCGATTAGGGATGTTAAGTGCTTTCTCGACTTGTCCGAATGTGTAAAAGCATGTCACTGATCATACTTGACTCGAATGTGATTTGGCAATTGAGTTATTCATTTATGTTTAATCTATTAAAAGTGCTGCAAAATGAAACACTTACTGATCAGAAGAAAGCCAAAAAGCATTTTCAGATAGAAAAAAACAATATAAAGTTGCCAATAAATACGAAATATGTAATGTGAATAAAATCTAAAATATAAGAATATCTAGAATATAGAAAGGAATAACAAAGAGTGGTATACATAGTAGTAAGTTAAAAGGAACGCGTCAAGGATGGCCGTCTTTAGAATAAAACTGAGAGAAATCAATATGATTTGATGCTATTGAACCGCTGAGAACTGGACAGGGTGAAGATGGGAAAGCCAAATAGTATATATTGGAGAACTGGACATAAAATGTATGATCGGCACCGCGTATGTGGGAAATATTACAAAAGAGCCACTCTGCAAGAAAGCAGCATGTAAAATAAACAACATGCCATTTTGTTCATATTTTATGTCACCACATTAAAACATTAATTATCTATTTTATGTGGATATACATATGTCTGTTCTTTCTTCATATTTCTGTCGAAACCACATTTTTAAACAATATCCACAAGTAAACGTTTGTATGACCACAATACAGATATCATGATTCGATCAAATTACAGATATATTTATTTGATCATTTTTTGTTGTTAAGACATCTTGAGGTTAATAGCCACGCCGGAAGGGTACAAATGATTAGGACTCCAACAACAAAGGAGAAATGTATTGAAACACTAATTTCTACTATTGATACTAATTTTGTATGCACTTAGAAAATTGGATAAAGGTTCAAGCTGTCATTGCGTGATGATATTCGCCATTTTCACTTAGTAGTAGCAAGTATTGACGTCTAAAATAAATATAACTTCAAAACAATTTTTTCTTAATTTCCGATATATTGGAATTTGATTGTTGCGGTGGGAGATGGAACAAATGACAAGGTTAAAAACAATACCAGTACAAAAGAATTATTAGGCCAACAATCCTTTCCTCGTTAATTGAAATCAATGTCATTTGTTGGAATGAATTAGTTAAGTTGTTGATGGATTATCTGCGATAAGCCACCCCCTAGCACTAATGAGACACTAATTGATGCCAGTTGTGACGTCATAGACCCACGGATTGTTAAAGAAGTGGTCGTCAGCATGAGAAATCATGACCTTCTTTTAGTACCTTTCTAGCCGAAAAACAGAAAGACGCGATGGGTATCAGTGTATGGCCATATCGGAATATAAAATCAGAAAATATCTATAACCAAGGAAAACAAAACCACCAAAGTACTATGGTATTAAAGATAATTTATTTCAGTTGTCTTACAGTGCTGTCCAAATTATAAGAAAGAAATAGAAATGTTCAAAATTGCTGTTTAAGTATAAAATAGTTATTATGATTAAGTATAAGTTTTACGTATGCCATATTATTATCGTATAAAACAGTATTAAGCCAACGTATTGGGAACATAAAAAATCAATGAAAAAAGAATGATTATCTTAAAAGCAAAACTACATTTCCCTAAATAGAATTATATAATGAAATCACAATTACCACTGGTGCTCCACTCGATAAAGCTCGACCGAAACGGACCGCGTCTATGATTGTTACGTAAACAAGAGACATATGTACAATATGTCTCTGCGTAAACGGAACTTCAAAAAACGGTTAAGATCAAAAGGAGGGAAAACCCCATGATTCAATTGATGACAAACGATTTCCTCCTTCGCGCACCTCCTTTCCCGGAAGTATGTATATTTGTTTACCCTCCATCTTGGTTTTTCAAAGTTTTCAAATTGACCTAGTTTAAACCAGTCAACGATCGACTCGCTAAACCAATCAGCGACGATGTCATCTCAATACAGATTTACATTATAAGTGTATGCCATCTTTGAACCCTGGGGTTTCTCCCCCTCTTGTTAAGATCTGCACTTCTAACCTATTCCGTTTACGTAACAATAGTGAGGTATCAAATCGACGATTCTGGTTGTCTTCGGGACTATTTCTTCGCAAAAATGTAAATTTTCTTAAACATACGACACTGACACACGTTTCTGATAAAAATGTCGTGGGAATTTTGCCTACAAAGCGTGAAATAAAGGAAAAAAGAAAAATTGTACCATCGAGGTTCCGACATTTTGCAGCGTAATCGGGTGTAGCACAAGCACTGATAACTGCGTAAACAGCATGAAGTTAAAAAGAAGTCAGCAGGCAGTCTAAAAGAACAGTTATTATAATTCATTCAATAAAATCAATCGATGACAATTTATTTTATTTAGGTCTTATTTAGGTCTTCGCGTGTCAAGGTCAAATGCTTTTAGACGCCTAAACACATTTTGTGCAAGTCGTAGTTTATATATTCAATAAAGTATAAATTACTGTTTTATATTTTCTTATAGTTTATAAAGTTAATTGATCATATTTTTAGATAATAGTTTGGCGTTTGTTCTCCGTATGGCTTGTGGTGCTCCTGTTATCATTCTATTGCATTTTCCCCTTTGCCACTTGAGCTTCCATATCTATAATTGAATGTTTTGATTTTCTGTAGCCCGTGTATGTTATAAGTATCTGTAAATTCACTTTACTTCTAATTCAATGTATACACTTTTGATAATACAATTTCAGCTGTTCAACATGAACGAGGACCAAGAAAATCAAAACTGAAGGTAACAGAGACACGCAGCAATAAATCAATGATACCAATTGAGGCTCCCATTGACCTTCGCGTTCCCGCTAAATCCCATGCCCTGATAATGGCCCCTCCAGTCGGGACAGGCCCCTACCCAAACGCCACACTGATGCACAGCCTGTTGGCAGCAGAGCAGACACACGATCCAATCATATTCCAAGGTTTAATGGCGCATGCGCAGTTTGGAATTCATAATCATATGAACCAATCAGCGTTCAGGATACCCCAACATGCGATGGTAGCACACATGCGCGAAAGTTTACAAGAGGTGATGGCACGGCTTTTGTTCATAATGTGTGCTTGGATCAAAAACATACCTGCTTTTAAAAAGCTCTCAAGTCGTGATCAGGTGAGCATAGCTTTTTAATTTTCAAATTTACACCTGATAACCTTGACCTCTCCGACACGGGGTTGACTTGTTGATATTCTAATTGATTTTAAATTTGAATTATTATATGTTTTTCTAATGGTAAAAATTGTACATCCTGTTTTAATGCTATTTTTACGTAAACCATTTTGTATAAAATTTCAAAAGTACTACATGTGGTTCACAAAATAGGCTGTTTATCAGCAAATTGATTGTGTCAGTAGCTCATGCTTTCTCGATTTATTGTTATCTTTCTTCTTAAATGTGCATACTTCCACTTTAAAGAAGATTATAAGAGTATGAACATTTTCGAATTCTAAACCCTTACTTCAGTCTGTGGAAATGGAAACACGTGTTGATCACTGTTTTCTGTTGTTCAAAGGTTATATTATTGGAGGAGACATGGTGTGACTTGTTCTTGCTAAACCTCGCCCAGTGGAATGTGCCCATTGAGGTCCAAAACATTCTAGAATGTGGCTGTATCAAAACAGAGAGTATGTCAAGTGAGAAAATGGCGTCGATTTTATCAGATATACGTCACATCCGGGATATCGTCAACCGATTTAGGGAACTTCGAGTTGACCTCGCAGAATATGCATGTTTGAAAGCAATAGCACTTTTTAGGACAGGTAAGATTTTAATGTTTTCACTGGTTCGTACCTGGTCATTATTCGTTTTTTTCACAGTCACATTTTAAAGGTTAGATACTTTGTCGCATACAGTCTCGGGGAAGCACCATATGATTTATGTGTATTATGGAAGAAAAATCTGAGAGAAGCGGAAAGCCACATACTTTTACACATGTTCAAAATGGTCCATTTCTCTTATAAATACGTACAGCATCTACAAAGAATTGCTCATATCTATGTGCAATATCAATGAGGAATCTTATATACCTTATGTGGTTACTTTTACATTCACTATCGAACACACGTCATTGTTTCAACACCGTCTTGGCTTATCCTAAAATAATTGTCGGCATGATATTTTTTTATACTTTAGCGCACACTATTTTTTATACTTTAGCGCACACTTTAAGGTTGACATTTTTGAACGTACTTTCAGAGACATCTGGACTCAGGGACAACCAGGCTGTCGAAGGCCTTCAAGATCAGGCACAATTAATGCTGGGAGAATACATACGTCATAGATGTCCAAACCACGTGACTCGATTTGGGAAAATCCTTCTCCTGCTGCCATGCTTACGCGTCGTTAGTCCAAATATTGTTGAGAAACTATTCTTCAAAGAAACAATAGGGGACATTCCCATCGAGAGACTAGTTGCAGATATATACAAAGCAGAAACTACGTAGAAAACTATAACAGCCAAGGTGGAAGAGTGTTTATTTATTCTATATCAATAAAAACTACACAATCAGATTTATATCGTTTGTTGACCGTTGTTTACGTCTGATGATAATTTATAAAATAGAGAATATTTATACGATTCGCCATCAGAACATTTACGAGGAGCAAAAGGTTGACAGTTAAATGTTTTGTAAAACACATATATTCGGACACTAGATGAGAGTGAGTTAAGTAATGACTAATTTATGAATTTCATACTGCTTTTACTTAGGTAGAAACACAATAGAATGATTTGTAGTTTATTCTAAAGAATATACAGTTGTAACAAAGAGGAGTGCATTTCTGTTGTTTTTAAAGAAGTGACACTTGGCAAGCTATCCAAAACAAGTGTGTATAAAAGACGATTGACAGTACACTGAAGCTGAGCTTATTACACCTTATTTACTCATTCTATAGTTAAATAGTAACACAAAAGAAACATTTTCAAACTGTACCCGGTCTGTTACATGCAGCGTACTGAAGCTGAATTAATTACACAGTCACTATCAAACTAATTACATACACTTTTTAAAACACCTCATAGTCAATACAAAAGAAATCAAAGGACGATTCTCGGTTTGGAGAACAGTCTCCTGGGCTAATATTTGTTTTCATGAAAAATATAGAAATATTACCCAAATTAAACTATGAATATTCAAAAGAGGACATTTAAATCTACAAGATGTAAAGATAACAAATTGGTCTGAAGCAGGGATAATGCTCAAATAGACCTATTCAATATAAATACAAGTCTCGATTTGGGGAAAGAAGTTCATCAGTGTACTGCGCTAATATTTTTTTGCAAAAAATCTAGAAATATTACCCAAATTAAATTATGACTATTCAAAAGAAGACATTCAAATCTTTATTATGTAAAAAAATCAAATTTGTCCGAAGCAGGGATAATGCTCATTTAGATTGACGAACTTCGTTCTCCAAACCGAGAATCGTCCTTTTCCTAAAATTGAATCATTTGTCATTTACCTTTCATAGGAGTCACTTTGGGGTATAAGTTAGATAAACAATTCGTACTGGGTTTCATGAGAACTAATAACCCCGGGTCAAGGCCCTCGCCTATTATTTCTCATAAAACCCAGGACTCATCGTTTATCCGTGATAGAATACACTACACTCGGCATACTTCATTTGTAAATATCAAAAACAGACTATATTGCGATGTTTTACGTCTCATAGATGTCACTCTCTTACCTCCATTTGAGGTAGTTGATTTCTGACAAGAGGTGGCTCGATGCTATAGCGTAAAGGCAACGATTTGACCAATATTCACCTTTTAAGGTCATTTGAATTTTGTGATGTTACGTACGTGATGTGATGAGGCTTTTAATGTATATGGATACATAATGTTGATAGATTTATTGAATTATACCCAGTAAAATTACTTTTAATGTATCTTTGTTTTACTTTCGAACATACTATGCAACATATTTGTCAAAAAACATACAGACAAATTGTATTTCTTCGAAGATCAATAAAAATGTAGTCACGCCATCGATAACGTACCGTGACAAAATATACCGTTGTACAGTTTAGATGTACGGTCTCACTATTAACCGATTTGAAGCAAAGACAATGCGTTGTATATTTGATGTAGGTTTAAAAAAAGTACCTGAACAATACATTAGGATTTCAAGTTTGATTTTGTGAATATTCGTTTGGGAAGACATTTAACTTTCTAGTAATGTTAAAATATTTTCAAACAGTGCTCGATTTTTTTGTGGTAAATCTACCCATATAATTGGTCGGTATATGTTTCTCCAAACTACACAATTTAGGACGGGTGGAGATTAATAAATATTCAAGTATTTATTGTAATTTTAAACAGTCAGAAAGTCAGTGCGTTGTCAATTCGAATTTACGGTGTCCCTGTAATTGAAATGCATGAGATATAATATTAAAGAATGTAATGATTTCATTTCAAAATTTCATTAATGAGTAATAAGTTTACATTGATAGATAGATCAATACTAGCTTATTGAATATGACTTTTTAAAAGTGTTATGAAAAATACGTTGCCTGCATTTGGGTTAACTGTAAATTGAGTAAGTTCAATGAGACAACGTACATTCGAGTTGACAACGTACACTTAAGATTTTTAAATTTTAGCCAAAACGTTAATACTTATTAAATCTCCAACAGACCTTAATTATGTAGTTTAAAGAAATATATTCTCATAAAAATATTCGACACTCTTAGACGACAGGGGAGGAAATGATCAAAGGAAATGTGTAAAAACAACATTTTCCAACCGACCAATTATATGGGTAGGTTGCCTACAAAAAATCGAGCACTGTTCGAAAAACGTTATTAGAAAGGTAAATGTCTTCCCAAACGAATACACACAAAATCAAACATGATATCCTTAATGTATTTCTCAGATTATTTTGTTAAAACCTACATAAACCCTACATTACTGTCTTTGCTTCAAATCGGTTAAATAGCTACACCGTACATCTAAAGTGTACGACGGTATATTCTGTCACTGTACGTTGTCGATGGTTAGGCGTGGTAGTCGGTGACCTGTGATTTTTATCTTTAATTGACTCCTAAAGTTACATTCCAATGATGTTTTAAGTTGATCAAAATGGAACTACTTGTTAGATCAAGAAATTAAGTGACTCTTGTAATGTTTTCATGTATTCTGGCCCTACCGACACCCATGCTGCCATCTATTTTTCAATTAGAAAATGGTAAACTGCAGGCAACAGTGTTTGTAAACCAAATTGTTGGATCATGTAAGTTTTGAAAATTGTAAAAATTAGATCACAACCAGCAGGTGGCCTGACCTACTGAATTTGTCTATTGTAGGAATTTCTTTAGCAGGAAGCTTACGGTATTAAAATTGTTCATATTACTTGCATATTTGTTGGCTGCATTTAAAGGTCTATTAAAAGATGGCGTTACACACGGAAAACCATTACCATCATCGGCAGCAAATACACGTAGAAATTTATTATAACGTTTTTATAAGTCTATAATCAAGATTAATCACAAGAGTTGACGTTTGGTCAGATCTGTTCATCTCTATGGGAACCAGCATGTTCAGAGGGACAACAAAAGTGATCAATTCAAACCCAAATACCCAAAGGGCTAAAATCTGATATTATATTTCTTGAAAAGATATGATAATGGAACCTTGGAGGCTTATATGTATGTTAACTAGAAACAATATTGAATATGTCTATATGGATGTTAAATTTCAACCAACTCGCCATTACATGATTTCACCAACAACGGTTGTACATGTACATTAATGATACACGAATGACTGACAATTGAAAATATAACATTAAGTCAGGCGCCTAGAACTCATACACAATGTAACATATTCTCAACTCACACAATTTTACACATTCTAAAAACATTCAGTCTAAGTTGTTATAATTTCAAATATTTATTTATTTATATTCATTTAAGTCTTTTCATGATATCATAAACAATGAATTGATTGATAGCGCCATCACAGCATTGGCAAACACATTTACAATATCTAACTTTGGACTTTTTTGTTGAATTCTGGAACTAACTTGAATGTTTGTATACAATTTATTAAGAGTTTATTTACTACGCCCATATTCTAGAATTTAAACATTGTCATATTATCAGTTTATTACTAAACTCATATTCTAGAAATTAAACGTTGTCATATTTTCAGTTCATTACGAAGCTCATATCCTAGAACTTAAACATTGTCATATTTTCATGATCAGTTTATTAATACGTCCAAATTCTAGAATTTGAACATAGTCATATTATCAGTTTATAGCTCATATTCCAGTAATTAAACATTGTCACATTATCTGTTTTTTTTGCTACGCTCATATTCTAGAACTTAATTATTGTCATATTCTCTGTTTATTACTTAGCTCATATTCTAGAAATTAAATATTTGATTGCTAAAACCATATTCTGGAATTATCTATATATTGTTATCGTATTTTATCACGAAGCCCATATTCTGAAACTTAAAACATTGCTATAATATGTTATGATTACATATTTCCCCAGGGATATAATACACATTACTGCTCTCAATGTTAATCACAATAAGATTGACCGTTATATTCTTATATCCTAGTAATTGGATATGTATATTGGTAATATAATTAAACTACGAATCAAAAATAAGATCAAATAATTGGATGTCAAGTTTATGAAGAACACTCCTTTATTTTAATTGTCAATTAATATCCGATGTTATTAGGAATGTCTGTCTTATAACAATAGAACTCTACTTTGTCAATTATAAAAATATATTCCCCCTTAGATAGTTGTATATTAATAATCAATAGTCCGAAATAAACATGTTGGAAATGAATGTTGGTTAGTTTGTTAATTCATCAAGGATAGTGCAAGTGTGTGCATAAACCATTATAAATTGTCAGTTTCTTAGACATTGATTTCATTAATTGTGATATTTATTGATGACGTAATAACCCACGTATTAGGTCGCCTGACTTTCTTGTTACAGCAAATGAAACTCAAATTAAAATACAAATACATATGAATAGTAAACCGCCCCTGTGGAACTTCTTCATATATTTGCACGATGAAGAAAGTATTGTATACGGATTCTCCACATTCTTTCATTACTTGCATGTCATTGGTAGAATTTTCTATTCTCTACACTTCTAAGAAAAGGAATGATAAATTAAAAAATACTCCTTACATGAAAGAAACACTTCTATTGTGTAGTTGATACATGTTCTAGCTTCCTACTGTCGTACATTTGATACCTGGTACACACGTCTAAGTTTCTTTGTTTTTTCTTTCGTTTAATCTAATCTTCATTCAATATTGTCATATCTTCACTATGATTGAAATATCCAATGAATTTGATACTTTAACAACTTTTCTATATCCAAAATATGCACATTTTATAATTAAAGTGTGTGGCAACGCTTATGACATATTTTTAAAAATTGTGTAAGGGTCTTAGTCAATGTATCTAATACCCATGTAAGAGTCTTGAGGAATGGTATCCATGCATTTAAGGGTCTTGGCCAATGTATCCAATGACCATATGATGGTCATTTTATTCAATGCTTATATGCACTGTAAAGGTCTTGATCATTGTATCCAATGCCCGTATAAGGGACTTGAGCATTTTACCTAATACACATATACATCTTTTTGGCGATAAAATAATATTCA